AAGAGCGTTCAGGAGCCACCTCCTCACTGCACAGTGCTAAGATGTTTGGATAAAAGCCACAGAGAGGATTATTTGGATTATGTTCAATTTTGGAAATATTCCAACCTCAGAGAGCAAGTCTGTGTTTTGTTATTACAGAGGTGATCTCAACAAATGATACTAATGGATTTACACTGTTCAACAGCAAATTGCACCTGTTAATGTTACAACATGTCACACGTGGGTCCTGGTTCTTCACAGAGGTATGCCAATTTATTGTGGCAGTGACAGTGGGTACAACAGCCAAGTCTGCGTGACTCTGTCAATATTGCAGAGGTGCAAATCATGTTATCAGTAGTGACTTTGAACTTGCTGCACGAAGCTCAAGTGAACAGATTTAATGGGAGAAGTTTGTGGGAGAGGTGTACTAGAAGGGTTGTCTATAGCTGCAGTTGGAGTAGCAGTGATTCTCTTCTACATTTTCATTTTAATGGCTTGTAGACTTTCATAAGTAGAGCATTAATAGTCTTTGCCCAACCCTTCCAAACAGTGTTATTTCCACTGTAAGCTGGACAAATAACATACAGCTCTCCCTCACAACAGGTGCGAGTGGAGATACTTATCCTGTGTCACAGAGTTTAAAAGATGACGTTTCTAAAAGCAGCAGCGATGTCGAATACAGCCCTTGCACAGGTCTTTTCCTACTCAACGCAGCATGAGCTGTCGTGCCAGAGGTGGGGAAGGCCACGCAGAAGCTGACATCACATGCTCGTCAAATCTGCAGCCACATTATCCTGCAGACAAACTGTCATTTCCATTGTACACACTTCTTATTACAAGGAGATTATTACTGTAAGAGTTTATTACAAAAAAAAGGGAAATGTTTTAGGGATTTTCACCCACATTTTCATACCTTTTATCTCTGGAGCTTATATTTGTATTTGCCTCAATCAGGTATAGGCTGTGGTACGCATGAATGTTTTCCCTTAAAGCTTGTGATAAACTCACTTTTCTATTAAAAAGTTTAAATACTTGTTATAAAAAATTTCTCCATATTTGTATGCTTTGATCTAATCTACTACATAGTTTTAGCTAAAATGGTTGTGGTTCTAAAGATTACAAGTATTAAGAGGAAGAAATAAGTTGTAGAAATTATCTTCAGCTTGCAGCTTGCTTTACAAAGGTTTAAAATTCCCTTTCTTTGCTAACTCCCTCTAAAGAGCTTCTGACCCACTCTTTTTATGTATAGTCACCAATCTAATAATAATAATAATAATAATTTTAAGATTGGATCAATAAGGCCATTGCTTTGCACTTAAGAATTCTAAAAGAACCTTAATATTAATAAGCAAACACCTTCAGAAGTAGTATTTCTGCTTAGGCAATCAGAGGAGAACTTACTTTGTACTCCCGATAAACGTTTCAGCTCCCTGTGCTTCACCACTACTGCAAATTTAAAGTCCAGGGATGTGTTTGAAAGAAAGTGCCCTGAGACAGAAAATCCATTGGTATAGAACCGGTTCTGCTCTTCATCATTTACATGCTGTCTCAAAGGCATGTTACAGTATAATCCAAACCACAAACCTCCTGGGTCCCCTTTCACAGAAACTGAAAGCACCATTTGGGTACATGTGCATTTGTGCTGACAATGAATTTTATGTTTTGTGCAAGAATCAGATCTGTGGTGAGCAGCTCTACAGAGATTTGGTATCCAAACTCTCCAGGCTATCTTGTAAAACCTGCAAACTCAATGCTATTAGTAGACGAAGCTCAGGATTAAAGGTAAACTTGAAGCTGCCAGATTTTGCAGCTTTCTATATCAGGGTTGCGGTGCACTACCTGGTTATCCCAGAACAAAAATATTTTCTTTTTAGAATCGTTAATGAGTATTTTTTTATTTTTTTTTTTAACAAGCCATAGGCAGGATGGAAATCTTGGAAAGAGGTCCATTTCTATAATTAAAAGGACTTTCTAAGTGGTACTACGTGGGGAAGAGTATAACCTTTGTTAGGGTGGTGCTCATGCAGTATGCTCCACAGGAAGACTGGGCAATGCAAACAGAATTACTGCTACCGACATGTCTTCCACAGAGCAGATTTCACCTTCTAGAATCGGTGCCTATTTTCATAAAGTTTTCCATATAACCCAACAAAGGGTTATAACTGACTTGGCCGTACATGTCTCGAGGCCTCACCATCGTACCTCCTCCTCCCGCTAGCACCAGCTATTGCCAGATCACTGTCAACCCAGTCATACACAATAATGCCCCATTATAGCTGGAATGGTTTGTTACACTTTATAGCACTCAGAAATGCTCCTGAGGCACCCAAAATGTCTCAATTCAGAATTGAACGTATAATACCTGCCAAATTTGCAGGTTTGAAACTACTTCCAATAAGAATTAAAAAGGCCCTCTTCCCAGCTGAAATAGGGCTATCAATACCTGACTTGTCTACCCATGTGAAATAGTGGGTTCTTTTCTCTGACGTCGCAATTTACTTTAAAATAGCTTTGATGATGACAGGGTACACACGAGTGATAAAACGATAAAGACGACAGCCTAATCTTACAAAGATGACCGATCACTGATAAGAGATTAAGTCACACAACATTTGAAAAACCAGATTATCTGTCTGCTAGGATAGTGTCTGTGTACACCTCCTGCTGAGCCATGCTGAGATGCCAACAACACACAAAGATGCTACTTCTTAAAAAGCAGAAATGCTTCACGGAATTTGTCAAACCGTTGGGATAAAAGAAAGTAAGAGGAAAAGCTCTGATCTTATATTGAGCTTTTTTTTTGGTCAAACACTCATTTTTCAGGCTAGTAAAGTATTTAGATGTACAGCATATAAGTAATTTAGAGACGCTATAAAAAGGTCTAAATTAGCTAGTTCTGCCCTATAATTAGCACTCACAGCTATGCTGGCAATGGGTGGGTGATTATTAAACACCTTTTATTATCGGTTTTATGTAGCACAATATAAAATGAAAATTATACTTACGAGAATTATTAGACATGCTGGTCCTATAAAACTCCATATAAAGTTATTCTTTGTGCTGAGCCAACATCTGAAAAGTAAACAGCAGAAAACGCCTTGAAATGTGCTATTGTGACCATTGCATCCTTACGTACACCAATTCGGGCACAGGAACAGCGACTTACACTTCTGTGGTGCCATAGTACTTGTATCCCAGTGCGGCAGAGATTCCAACGACCACGGCTGGGCTGACGTAGCCAAAGACATAGAAATTCTTGTGCAAGAAACCCTTGTTGTAGATGACTCCCACAACTATAAGGTAGAGGTGAATACCTTCAATGCACATCCATGCAAAAGCAGCTAGAAGGAAATAATGGAGTAATCCAGCAGTAATTGAACAGAAGAGCTAGAAATTCAATCAGAGAAAGCGAGAGTCATAATTCCATTAATATGCCTCTGTTAATATAACAGCATATGCACAGCAACCTAGGGACTCTAACGTGGTGGTCGAGCAGCCCAGAGGTAATGCTGATTGACAAGAACTTGGCCTACACCCACGAGCACTTGTTCATTTGTGTTTTCTGTAGCAACTGGTAAAATAAAGGGACTACATTAAACTTTAAAAATTGGTGCATGTCTTCCCAGACACACTGTACAAACAAATTGACAGAATAGATCCCATATTTAGAGCTGAGTAGTCTATATGCTTTCTTGACCTAGAAAAACTTTTTTTTTTTGATTTTGGTAACGATGTAATTAGGCATCACCAGGAATCCTTTTGAATTGAGCATTTGTAAAAGTTGTTTCTCAATCAATGAATACTGGAGTGCCACCCCAGGGATAGCGGCAGATATTTTTTCAAGTAAATTTAAATTCTATTCAGCTACTTATAGTAGGGGTATTTCGATAATTTATGCATAATTTAATTTCCTGAAACTAATCTGGGGGCATAAATCAACAGCCCAATTTTTATGAAAAGCAATGGGGACAGGTCAAGACCTCACATATAGAATGGTAAGGGATCCTCCAGCCAACTGCTCAGTGTATTAAACGTCAGCTTGGGACTGCAGCTCTGGCCTGGATTTTAGGGAAAATTGTCACCTAGAGAGCCTCCGCTGTCACTTTGTATAGCATCGAGACAGAAGTGAAAAGCGAAAAGGCTAAATACACCGAGACCACAGCCTCGGTTAAGGTGACAAAGTGTAAACGAAACCCATAGAGCAAAGTCAATATACACCAGCTCACATGAAGGCCATACTTCTTCAAATGACCATTTTATATTTCCTGTTGCTAGACTTGGAAGCAAGTGTGAATAGAATATTCATACTGATAGTGGGATACTGGAAGTAGATGGAAGAGGTTATCATATACTGTTTATATACTTTACAACACCATATCAAGATACAAGTGAAAACTACCCACCTTATTATTGTTCATATTAATTCCAATCAGAAAAATAAGTTCCGCCAGGAAAAGGCTGCAGCAGAGGTTTTTGTGAATTGTTGTTCTAGTGCTCTGGATTTCACTGAAGAACCAGAATGTAAAAATGCACATGGAGAGGCAAATCAACGAAATAATTATTCCTAGCTGAGTGATCCTTGTAAGAATGTTATAATTTGTAACACCCTGGAGGAAAATTATAATATAATATTTAAAAGAATAGCTTTGTACCTTCTCAAGAAAGACTTCATTCTATAATACAGTTCTTCTTTTCTACAAAATATTAATCAAAAACTGTTTGTAGAATTTCACTGCAAATGTACACTTAGGATAATCTAAAAAGTATTGTTTTTTGTGAGACAGATATAATTCTAGGGGAAATTAGCAACGAACTATATATATATTCCTGTTCTTGCATTTTCTGATATTTCTTAACAAAACCTTTTATTAACATCAGTACCTCCTAATATGATTTTAAAAATCAGATCATTTTAGTGAACAAAAAATACACCGTCAGTAGGACATATATTAATACGACACGAACATTTTCTAATATAAAAGGACTTATCACAGCAGTGACTTAGATAAGTAAAATTGAATAACCGTCTTACTGAATTTGCAACATGATCAAAACAAGACTCTGAAACAACAATCACTTCCAACAAATGCTATTCCAGATATGTAACGTGAACATTGTCCAAAGAAACACAGGCTATTTTAGTTTGGATGTGAATATTTTTTGTACAGGAATACAGTTACTTTTGCTGCTTGGTATTTGCACAAAGAATCTGTGAAATACATGACTGTGCATCTGTATAAGGACAGTATTCAACTGGCCATAAAATGTATCCAATATTTTTTTTTCCCTAAATAAAGGACCAGAGATTACTCTCCTCTCTGCCTTCTTTTTCAAAATAACTATATAAGTACCTGCAAAGGTTTTAAATTTGAACTGAAGACTTAGGATGCTGTTTAGCAACCAGGAAACAGCCTCTACCAGCATGAAATTCACAGTGTGAGAGAACTGTCTCAATACAGTATATTCATGCTAATATTCTGCTTGCTGCCAGCTCTGATACCTTATAAAGCTGCCTCCTGAGGCAGGAACTGAGCTCCTGCAGATTCCCATGTAGACCCCGGAAATCTATGGGGGCTCTTAATATAAGAAAGATATAAATGAGTGGTCATTCTCACAATTTTATGCCGGTCATAAGCATCCATATTTAATAGCCATAAACTTCGAATTGATTATGCTGTTGCAAACTTTCAGGAGAGAATTTTAAGCTGATTTTCAGATGCCAAGGTTAGATAAATGTGTGACAAAGTTTTGTGAGGGAGAAATTCAGGGCCATATGGTTACTGACCACCAATGAATGCCAGTTAAATCCCACAGCAGTCTTAAAGATGGATTTTAAATCAAAAGCAATGCACCAAAAATAAGCACAACAGACTGTGTATTTGGAACAAGATACTTTGCTGCATCACTGCTCTGTAATGCTGCAGAAAGGACATAAGGAAATTCAAACACATATGGGAGGAATTTTGTTTGCTCTGTGCACAATAAATTGTGTGTTTGCTGAACAAAAACAAGAGACAACCTAATGAGGGAAAAGTACGTAAGTTGCATTGAAATAAAAGCAGAAGGAATGAAGATGGGAGAAAACATCACGTAAAATACTGAATTAAAACAGCACTTACAACAGAGCCACCTGAGGACATCAAAACAGCAAAATGAGTCAGATGATTACATTTGCATGAGATATGAGTGGAGTTGGAATGTGTCAGCTCACAGCCTTGTGTAGCCCAGTTGCCATTCATTGTGTCTGCTGAGTAGTTCCAAAATGCACATTTAATATCTCTATCCGCAGTCTGGAACAGAAACAAGATGTTTTACTGATGGCAAAAGGCAAGATATTTCCCATCAAGAGACCTTTCTTACATTAGCCAGTGCAATTCATTAAAAATTGCTTGTTACCATTGGAAGGTTGGGAAACAAAAAGCACATTCTGCAAGGCCTATTCCAAGCAATTAAAACGTGTCTGGGGAATGGAAGCATTTTATCCACACAGCTAACACCCCACCAAATGTGTAGGATATTCCGATTACTGAACCCTTCTGGCACTAGCAAAAGTGTTGGAATTTTTACCTATTGAAAACATTGTTATATCGACACCTACATGTCCTGAACATGGACTAAGCCCCAAGTTACAGCCACATTGCTTGTCCTGCTCACAGTCCCTTCCGAATGAGCAGTTAAAAAAACGAGACTTAATTCTGCACATTTTACAAAGTAATCTGGGATGAGGCCAGGGTCATACCTCACCTGCTGTATCAGGTGTGACGAGAGCCATGAATAACACCATTAGTATTATTTATTACAGTTGGTGCTTACTGACACTAGTCAAAGATAAGGTCCCCACTGTACTACAGACTGTATAAATATATGCAAATTTATATAAATGGGATCTCTAGCTCAAATATTAGAAGCCATATAACAAATTTAAAAGCTGCATAACCAAGATTAACATCCAGTGCCCACTTCCCTACAGAATCAATTTCTTACGTTCCTGATAATTCTTTGTGCCATGAAAAGTGATTCTTCACTATATATATATATATATAGTGGAACTAAAACCCCTCAGTTTTTCATAAATGTGTTCAGAATTCAGAAATAATAAAGCTGCAACACTATAGGTTCTGCTATCATCATCTACCTCGAGGTTAGCTTATTGTGCTAACTTTGAAACATTTCTTCACTTTTTATTTAGTATGCATGCTTAACCAGCTGATAAACTTTAAGGAAAAAAAACACACCAAATACAGCATAGTCAAGATCTTGTAATATTCTGTAGTTGAGGCATCCATATTTTATTCATACTACAACCTAGCAAAGACGCCATTGTTGCCCTTATTTTAGTACTGTAAAAATTTTCAGCTGTATCGTATTTAGTATCTTGCACTTAGGATTTGAGATTACTCTTGTTAGAGAAATAAACGACACACATCAGCTAGCAACAGAATTATAACCCAATATATCATACAGTGCAAGAGAGGTTACACCACATAAAATGACTAGCTATTGTTTTGTTTTATTTGAAGTTGGCAATAAAAAACCAACTTACCTTGATATACTTTAAGGTAAAAGTTATTTTCTCGAGCTCGTAGAGTGTAGGTGGTTTTGAGCTAATTGCAACAGCTATAACTGACGAGCTTACTGTCTGTCTCTGCTCTGAAGGATCTTTCAAGGAGCGATTTTTAGGCGATGAAAGCAAAGAACCAATATCGCTATACCGCAGAAAGACAACTGCAACAGTGCCTATCAATCGAACAGACCATATTTAGTAGTTTGTGGTTTTTTTTAGAGAAGAACAAAATTGAAGACATTAAGGAAACAATCAACAATAGACATTATTGCTGCTATTGCATAAAATATGCAAAACAGATGTAATCTTTGTGGAATACTTATAAAAATATTCTAGAGACAATGAAATACAGCTTTATTTAAAACAACGTAACGGCCATTAGAAATAAAAATGTGTGTTCACATTGGAAATTTTAATTAGATATAAGCATTTATACTTTTTGTAGAGTAATATATGCTTGCTGGTGTTCTGCAATTGGCTGCATATGCCGTGTCAGGTCTGCTAAACTAGAATGTTCCAGACCTGATGTAAATATTGGGCCTCTCTGAAGTACCTGGCTTGTTTTGAGTTCCATTACAGTGGAGCCAGGATGGAAGATACACAGGGAAAAAGAAAGCAAAAGGTATTTTAGGATGCAATGCTGAGCTAAAAAAAGGTCATGATTTTTCTCCTTGGCATCAAGATAAACCACGTTTTCAGGTATTGAATGGTAGTGAGACTTAGACTAGCTGTCAGATTAAGATTTAAATATCTTTTCTGTGTTTATTAGTTTAGGTTGTTTAATTCCTGAGCTGTTTAAACACATTTTACATTTATTTTTAGTGACGACGGCAGTTGTAAGCCATTTCTGTAGTACTCTGATGTTCAAGCCAAGACGCACCAAGATCTGAGCTCTGTTGGTTTTGGTATTGAAGAACACATGTTCTTGCCCCATATTTTCCACCCAAGTAGAAAAGATGCACCTATTTTTGGAGGGGGAGTAACACAGAGATCTGAAGGGGCCAGTTCAGGGTCACACAGCAGATCTTTGTCTGAGAAAAGAATAAATCTCAGGTTCCTGCTATGCGTATCCAGTGTTGAAACTCACTGGATACTCACTGTGTTGCTGGCTATGTTAGAAATACCAGTCCTGAAATGATATAAGAGTAGGAGAGACAGTGATAAAAATACCTTGACTCCTTTGTTGTTAGCAGGGCTGAAGCTCAGTCTTAATAAAATGCACATTTGCTTATTTACTAGTGGGTACAAGTCTATGCAAGGTGTTTAGTAACCCACCTACTCTCTAATCTTCGTTTCTTACCATTAAGATGAGATTCCTCCCTCTTCTTTGGAGAGATCTTTATGAAATCTCCCCCTGCGTATACATGAGGGTGGATGTGTTTCATGTGGCGTGAATCAAAAGCAAAAACCTTGAGCGCTGCAAAAGAAGAAAAATTCTGTACAAATCACAACTCCATTATGGTCTACCATAATTTGTAGCTGGCTTAATAAATGTCTTATTGAATTGTATAATTACTGCAAATTTCAAGAATATATCACTGTGCCAAATATTTAAAGGAAAATGATATTAATATAGTATGTTTGCTTAAACCTCTGTGTTTTGTTATTTTCATGCATACATTTCACTCTCATACTTTTTACTCTTTCCATGAAAAATATAGTCTTTTATTTACCTTGCATTAAATTAGGTACTGGAAAGAACAATGTAGGTTACTTTAGGAAGAGCTATTGCTTTATTAAAAATGCATTTCTGAAAGGGACCACAAATCACAATTATAAAAAGCAAAGCATAAAATTCTCTACTGAATAGTTACATTTGATAAAAGCCAATTTTTGAAAAGTATATATTTTATAGTTATCTATCCATGCTACCAAATGCACATTGCACCATGAAATAATGATGTGCCTTGTCAAAAAGCAAACAAACAAGCATCACCCCTCAGGACAAAAACTACATTAGAGGACATGGAGCTCTTTACTTGGTTCATTATAGTGCTGAGTTTCAATCACCCAGGATGGGAACAAAAACAAAAAAGTCAATCAGGCCTTTTTTTGAAAACAAAACAAAACAACAACAAACAAAACTAAAACTTGACTGATGGAAGAATATCACTAAGCTAGACCATCTGCATTGCTTATAGCATAGCACACAAAAATAATGTGAGCTATTCAATAGACCAGCTGTCAGAAAATGTTTGTCAGGACATAAGAAATAGTTTTCTGTGGCTGGAGTTTTGAAAAGCTTGTAATTCAAGAGCTTACACCATAGAAAGCAGTAGAGAGAGGGGATAATGTTGCAGGTCTTCTCCCAAAATAGGTGAGTGGTACACATGTGAGCCTTGTGGAAAATATGTTGAAAAACAATAACAAAAAATTGCAACGTTTGTGGCCAATTTGGAAGAGAGCTCATATGCCTTCGTATTTTAGAACAAGAAGCACGTCAAAAACCAAATCAATCTTTCAACATGGAAATTCCTTCCCATTCTCTTCATCAGCTTTTTTGTCACCTTGGTCTGACTGACATCTACACTGCCACTGGAGTCTGCACCCGGATGCTCTTTTCTCGACCTTCATGGCCTCATTTTCTGTAGCTGCTGCTTTCAACCAGGGTGCAGAGGCTTTGACAGCCAGCTCCTGGCACCATTCTGCATCTGCTGCAGACCCAGAGGTGCTCTGCAAAAAAATAAATCTGCTTCTACAGAATTTATGTCATGGAAGAAATCCCTCCCTACTTTTTCCTCACTCTTGCTAATTTAATCTCTCAGAAGGGTGAGGGGAAATCAGGTGGTTTGACCTGCCTCAGGATCACAGGAGGAACCTTTCTCATAAAGTCATCTTATGAAATAGCAAACCAGTAAGAGGCACTGAAGGACTGTGCTGAATCTCAAATAAGAAATCAGATCACATAGTCTGGGTACATTCAGGAAAATAAAGATGAAAGACTGGCCGTTGCCAAAGGAATCAGCAACGCATTATTAAGATTTGCAAGTGGCCAGTATTAGCCTTACCCTGCTCCCACTGAAAAAATGGTAAAACTGTTATTGTACCACAGGAAAATCAGCAGGACTTGGTGTGAAGACACCAGCACAAGGGAGAAGGTAGAGAACAAAATGGTGCAGTTGACACTGACCAATTCTTCTCCTTTGATATTCCTCTTAAATAGAGAAATTTCTCTGAAAATAAAGTCAATGAAGATTGAACTCACTCGAATAAGGAACAGTCCTTATTCAAAGTTCATTTACAATACCTTTACTAAACCAAAAATAGTAGAAAATCTGTATGGAGCAAATCCAAATTTCATCCCACTACCATTTTTTATGCATGTAAGATGCATAGGATAATTTTATGCATATAAAACGAATCCACATTCACCGTGACAGTGTGACTATAATGAGAGAGTGAAAGAAAATATGAAGGGACAACTTGCCACAACCTCTCAAGTTTTTTTCCGGGCTCTAGGCTCAAATGTTCAGTCTTTGAAAATTATGATACCTACACTGAAAGTCAGGTGTTAGTTATGAAACTCATGCAAATTAACACCTGTGTGTTTCACATAACACCATTTCTAATCTTCAAAATTGTGCTGAAAAACTCCTCAGTGTAATCCAGATCTAAGGTATACCTTAGATTAATTTTCTTTATCTTACCTATGTCACTTGCATTAGCATCTAGCTGTGTTGTCTTTTTGAAGTTCTGCGACATGAGAAGCGTTGCTTGCTCTGCAGTATGCAGCAGCTTGGTCAGACTCCGTCTTTGGTTATCCACAGGAAGAGCTTCCCAGACTGTAATTTTGTCTTTTTGTAAAAAATTGTTCACAGTGTTAACCAAAACCTGTAAATAAAAGAATATTTTAAGGCACAAGATTCATATGCTTTTCGTAAAATAAGAAAAAAACCCCACAACTTTAAGGCTTGATTCACTCACGTTAATGGTTGTGTTACGAAGTGCTTCACTGTCAGAAGAAGAGTAATGCCTGGTATTCAGTGATGAATAAGATAGTGCCTCAACGTATGAAATCATGTCTACAGGTAAAAGTGGTCCTGAAGTATTTTTATTAATTTCTTGCAGCATCTCCAGGGGTGTTTTTAAATGACTAATCTGAAAAATACAAGGAAAGTCACATTTCTGCAAATGAAAGAAAATCCAATGCAAATGACGGATTTCTGTGAATTAACATACTGGCTTTTAAATGCTTGTGCATAAAAAGAGGTGCTACTTAAATCAACAGGTTGACCTAAAGAGTAATGGTGTTACGTTTCTCTGGTACAACTCTTACAAACAACTATGACTAAGAAAACTCATGTCCTATCATTACACTTGGGGTTTTTTTAATACTTTTTTTTACACCTTTTATTTTTTCCTACTGCAGCTTAGTTTTATTTTAATGCTCCAGAATGAACTAGTAAGTATTCTGCAAAAATAATTAAATACCATTGATATGCTTACTCCGTTGGCGCTTTTCTGTTAAATTTGAGCTGAAGAGGTGTCAGCAGATGGGCAGTATTTGTATATTTTGTGGTTGGTTTTTTTCCAAATACGTATTATAAAGCATGTAGTTTGGTAAAACTGCACTGTGTAATTGAGCTTCACTGCTTCAGTTTATGAACTGCTAAATGCACTTATATAAAACTAGAAGTCTGAGAAGCAACAGGCTAGAGAAGGTCACAAGATGAATACTGCAAGTTTCCTGTCTCATAGCTGAGTAAGAAGAAAATTCTTACGTCATGATACTGAAATCTAGTGATATCTTATCCATCAAAACCCTCCCCAACACCTGATTTTGTTAGATCCATAGTCTCTGTTACTGAGCAGCTTTTATGTGGCTTGCTTCACCTTTGACTGCAGCTGAATAGAATTAGAACATAGGCTAGAAACTAGGTTAAAATCTGACACACTCTTACTTACATAAAATTGAAGTATTTTGACTTATTCAAGTTTAGTTTAGCTTGAATATGTGTTAAAAACCCCCTCACTCTAAGGTGCTGCTGTGACATTTACTATGTCTTTGCACATTAACGTTGTATGTATTATATTTAACATAATGTATTACATTGCAGGTTAACATAGAAAGCACGTTAATACAGTGTATATCTTACACTGCATTAAAAAACACTTTAAATTAATATCTTTCTGAATTTCATAAGTATAGCTTATTGCTTATAAAATGCAAACATATACAACTGGTTTTTATTTATGCTTACATTTAATTTACCTTTTTAAATTAGTCAATACTATAGCTGTAGGCTAGTGAATAGTGAATTCACTACTATTTTTTTAAAT